CCCAGTATCCTTCTTACGATTTCAATGTTGAGTAGGTTAGAAATCATCATGTTGGTATGTGGTGCTGTCTGATCATAATGTGTATGATTTTTGATTAAATAATGATTGAATGAACCTATTAATTGGACTTGTTTTATGCTAAGTGTTATTATGTAAAAGAATGATACTATGTTAAAGATATGTCTGAAAATGTTATTTATGAAGATGTTACGGTCTGTTGTGCATACTTGCTGTTAATATGATAGTATAAAGATGATATATTCATCAAATTCTAATATGATGTTGTCCAAGATGTTTAAAAAAATGTTATGCCTAAATTTTTGTTATAAGGTTATCTAAAAAGATCTCTGTGAAATCATAATTTGAGTGAATGTTTGACTTATGTCAATAAAATAGCTAACAAAAACATTATTCAGAATTTAAATGGGAATTTTCTATAATGTTATATCTAAATAAGTAAAATATTGGCTAATGAATAACGTATCCCATATGGAGCATGATTGAATGAAATTTTTGCTTATGCCAACAAAACAATTATGAAATCTATAGACAATTGCTCATGCTAATACTAATCATATGCCAATAAATTGGCTAACACTACATTGTCAAACAAGTTGTATGGAATTGGCTGTAATGTTATGTTAAATAACTAAAAGATTGGCTAATGTATAATGTTTAAATACTTAAGCATGTTGAACATGAAAATTGGCTTATGCCAACAAATATGGTTATTAAATCTATGCCCAATAGTTTATGCCAATACTTATTGTATGCCAATAAAATGGGTAACGATACATTGTCTAAGACTGATGCATGTAAATGGCTATAATATTATGTTAAATAATGTCAATTGGTTCATGCATATTAAATTTAAATATTAATATATGTAAAATTGGCACATGCCAACAAAAATAGTTATGTAGTTAAATATTCAAAGGTTGAGGACGATACTAATCATATGTCAATCTTTTGTAATTAGAGTAACAAATGATAATATAAGAAATTCTAAACTAATTCAATGAACCCATAATCAAGGTCATGCCACTCATTGGGACAACTCCTAACATGCTCTGAAAGAATTACATATGAACTCATAAAACTTATTGAATGAAGTGCTCATCATCCATAAACGATGATATTAATCTACTACACTAAAGTAAGTAAGTAACGTGAATTATAACATAATTAAAGGGGTATAAAGTAAGTAAGTGGGTGTTAAAGGAAGTGAGACAAGTCTCACTTACACCTAAGCTACTATGTTAAAAGAATACTCACGTATGAAGGTGTTAGAATGTGTGAGCCAGTCTCATTAACACCAAAGAATGATATGTAAGGAAAATTCACATTTCATAAATCTAAAGAAGGATGACCAGTCATCAATAGATGGTTGTTACATTTATGTTGATCTTTGTATATAATGAATTCATGAAATTACTATATGAAGTCTATGTATATTTCATATGTTTAAAAGTTTTAATTTTTCCGCTAAAATTAACCATATAAATGTGATGAATGCAAGATGAGGCTTGTCTGCGACCTCTCAGAGGTGAACGACGCCGGTTGCAATTCGGATTCCAGAATCTGGGTCGTGACAAATACTCTGGTTTTGACATTACCAAAGGTAACTCAAGGTTTTATGGTTTATTATGATGCATCTAGAGTTGGGTTGGGTTTCATGTTAATGTAGAATGACAAGGTTATAACTTATGCCTCTAGACAGTTGAAGATTCATTAGAGGAATTACTCAACCTATGACTTAGAGTTGGCTTTTGTAGTTTTCGCCTTGAAGATATGGTGTCACTACTAGTATGATGTTCATGTTGATATATTATCATGCCCCGATCTACCCTCGAGACACAGACATGGGACCTAGGAACACAAGAGATCCAAAGTTAACCTTGTTGGTATGATCATGAGCATACAAAGATGGGGAAGCTAAATAATAATTAAAATGAAAAGATGGGGAATACCCATATACTATAACTGAGATATTTGAAACTTATGAGTTTAAAACAAAGAAAATATTAACACAATACTAAGCTAAAACTAATTATGTCTAAAACTATCCTCTAACTGAATAAAAATGCTAGAATAGGCCCTAGCTAAGTCTAGCAAAACTGAACCTAAAGAACTAAAAATAGTGCAAAGAAACTCATGACTATTGTCCTCTAAGAATGAGGACTCACCACTGATTCTGCTGAACTAGAGATCGAGAATTGATCTAAGTGCTTATGGACACTAAGAACCTAAACCTACATCAAGAGAAAATGTAGTGCACGTATGCGTCAGTGCTTGATAGGTAGTGAGCATGTATGATAGAGTAAAACTGAAACAAAACATAACAAGTACAAAAACAAGTATAATATTTTGAACATGATATATTGAACGTTGAGATAACTGGATCCAATAACCAAATTTATAACATGTTGAGATTGAATACTAACTGAACTATAAATATGGATAATGCAATAGAGTCTGATTTAACTGTGGGAGCTACTAATAACAGATAATAAAACAACATGAGCTAAATGTGGAGTCTGATGTATATGCCCCATAGAGAGGATCTAATATACCCTGCCAGAGTTATAAATGTATGCTGATGTAGTCACTTAACTGATGCCTACAGAGGAAACTTACAACCCACTTGGCTACTTGTTATGTGACTATTTGTGTAAGCTAAACCTTAGTCCAACTCGTTAATATGTTACTCACAATTAATTAAATGTTTAACACATTATGATTGAATTTTTGTATGTATTGGATAGCTCAAAACTGAACATGCATACTGAGAATGCAACAATAATTCTGATAACGATGCATTCATAATTGAGACATAGCTAGGGTTCATAGATTCTTGCTATAATCTGAGTAATAACATGATAATCTGATTTGGAACATATAACAAGCTAATTCATGATATTCCATTGAAGTTTTAGAAACACTAGGTCTAATCATGATATGGAAATCAAGAATCTGTCTGAAAGTTAAGGACCCTATGGGTGAAAGGAACCCACTAGTTAAATTCCACATAACTAGTGATGAAATCCATGGAGAAATCTTTAGATTTTGGGGCTGGAACTAATGGAACCTTATTGCGTTCTTGAAAAAGGATTTTTGACCTTTTTCTCTTTTATTTTTGCTTCTAATTTTCTAAGATTTGATTAATGATTTGACTTGGGTAAGTTTTGGTTATTTTATTAGGCTTAAACTGACTAAAATATAATGATTTAGAGTCAAAACGACGTATTATAGGATTCCAACAAAGTATTAATAGACCAAAAGACCCCTATGTTAATTGATGTCGGAGCAACATTGTAACGACCTGTTTAGTCGTTTTGAGCAGCAGATTTTATTTCTGGAAAAACAGGCTGAGGCGACGGACCCCACGACGGACCGTCATGGGCAAGACGGACCTCGCAGAGTCTCGTTTCAAAACACTTAGAAAATCTGAAAATTGGGTACTGAAATCGACTGTCTGAACTTCGTAACGGAATGGCAGGACGGACCGTCACAGGTGTGACGGACCGTCACAGACTCTTCAGAGAAATTGAGTCTCTGAAGTCTGTGACGGAGCAGCAGGACGGACCGTCGCAGGCTGCGTAATCCCAGTCTGGGTCGGATTTCTTGATACGTTTTAAGGGACGTATTTGACTATTCCTGCTTTAATTATAAAGTTAGTGGGTTAATGTTAATAAGTCTAATTACTTGGGGGTTAAAAGAGGTAACCTTAAGTTAATTAGTGGGTTATTATTGTCATCGTTTAATCTTAATTATATACTAATTAGGGTAAAAGAAAGAGGGTTTGAATAAAGAAAGTAGAAAGAACAAGAGAAAGAGAGAGAAAGTTGAACGAGAAAGAGGAGAAACGAAGAGAAACAAAGCTTGGGAAATTGCTTGCTTGATCACTAATCTTCGGTGGAGGTAGGTTATGGTTTTCATGCTATTCGTAGTAAACTCTTAATAGCGAATGATATGTATTGATAGTATTGACGGAGCAGCAGGAAGGCCCGTCGCAGGCGCGACGGCCCGTCGCAGGCTGCGTAATCCCAGTCTGGGTCGGATTTCTTTATACGTTTTAAGTGACGTATTTGACTATTCCTGCTTTAATTATAAAGTTAGTGGGTTAATGTTAATAAGTCTAATTACTTGGGGTTAAAAGAGGTAACCTTTAGTTAATTAGTGGGTTATTATTGTCATCTTTTATTCATAATTATATACTAATTAGAGTAAAAGAAAGAGGGTTTGAATAAAGAAAATAGAAAGAACAAGAGAAAGAGAGAGAAAGTTGAACGTGATTATATAATTGTGATTATATTACGCATGATGAAGTTATTGAATCCCAAATCTTGATAAAAACCTAATCTCTTTTTATTGATGATGCCTTGGTAAGGGAGAAGGCTTGATGAATTGATAGAATGAGATTAGGGGATCGGGTGTCACGAACTGACACGTAGAATTAGGGGATCGGGTGTCACGAACCGATACGTAGAATTAGGGGATTGGGTGTCACGAACCGACACGTAGAATTAGGAGATCGGGTGTCACGAACCAACACGTAGATTTAGGGGATCGGGTGTCACGAACTGACACGTAGATTTAGGGGATCGGAGTGTCACGTTCCGACACATAGTAGTAGGGGATCGGAGTGTCACGTACCGGCACAAGAGTATTAATGAATATAAAGGAGCGGAGTGTCACGTACCGACACAAGAGGAATAAAGATAATGAATCTTGAAAGATGTTAATATACTCAATCTAATGAATCTAATTCCCAAATGAGTATGGTATTGAGGCTTGAGTTCTCATGTGTGAACTTGACGGTAATTGTTAATGATATTATACTTGCTGTTGCTACATGTTGAGTATCATAGTTGATTTTATGATATTACTTGGTATATATTGATTTCTATTTTTAGTTGGCCGATGATATCTACTCAGTACCCGTGTTTTGTACTGACCCCTACTTTTACGTTTTCTTCTTGTTTTTTTGTGGAGTGCAACAAACGTGCCATCATCTTCGACTCAACATTAACTCTAGCCAGTCTTCATTACTCCGGATATCAGGGTGAGCTAATGCTTCTAGCTTGGACTGGATCTTCCTCTTCATATATTGATGCCTTGAAGTTCCGGCATGGATTAGCTTTTATGTATTTTTTTTAGCTTCTTAGAAACTCTTAGATTTAATAATTTGAAGTAGATGTTCTTGTGATGATGACTTCCAGATTTTGGGGATAATAATAGTTATTGATTTTATTAATGAGTTTAAGTCTTCCGCATTACGTTCTGTTGATATTATATTGAAATGTTTAAGGTTTAGATTGGTTGGTTCGCTCACATAGGAGGGTAAGTGTGGGTGCCAGTCGCGGCCCGGTTTGGGTCGTGACAAACTTGGTATCAGAGCATTAGGTTCGTTGGTTTCATCACACAAGAACGGGTCTAGTAGAGTCTTAAGGAACGGTAGGGGGACGCCTTTACTTTTCCTTGATAGGCTATAAGACTTTAGGAAAATTTCACTCTTTCATTCTTTCTTTCGTGCTACTACTTGAGTCCAATTGGTATCTAGGCGATACGAATTGGTATCTGACCATCTTCACTCTCTTTCGCAGATGGTTAGAACTAGAGCAACGACTACGCCAACACCAACACCGGCTAGACCAGAAACAACTGAGTCAGCCACTAGGGCTGTGGCTCGAGGAAGAACAGCGGCAAGGGGCCGTGGTAGAGGTCGTGGGAGGACGTCCTCTGGGGAAGAGGACGAGCGCCTAGCCCATCTGATACTAGGGCAGTGACTCCTCCACCGACTGAGGAAGTAATAAGAGAAGGGGAGGATGGGGAAACTAAACAAGTGCAGAATGAGGGATTGCCACCCCAACCTACCTCAGAGATGATCAATCAGGTTCTCGCCTATCTCAGTGGGTTGTCTGATCAAGGTTAGGCACCTCCAGTGTTTTCTGTGCCAACACCTCCAGTTTCAGAAGTACAACATGCAACCACTATGGCTCCTCGTATGGAGGCCTCATTGGACATAGACACATTTCCACGTCTGACTACTAGGCCTATAATGACAAATGATCAGATTGAACTTTTCAGTAAGTTCTTGAAATTGAAACCTCCAGTCTTCAAGGGTGCTGAATCTGAGGATGCTTACGATTTTCTAGCTGACAGTCATGAGCTACTACACAAGATGGGTATAGTAGAACGGTTTGGTGTTGAGTTTGTGAGTTATCAGTTTCAAGGAAATGCCAAAATGTGGTGGCGGTCACATGTTGAGTGTCAACCAACGGAGGCACCACCTATGACTCGGGCCTCATTCTCTAGCTTGTTTATGGAGAAGTATATCCCCCGGACTTTGAGGGATAGGAAAAGGGATGAGTTCTTGAGCCTAGAGCAAGGTAGGATGTCGGTCAACGCATATGAGGCTAAGTTTCATGCACTATCCAGATATGCCACCCAACTTTGTTTCAGTCCACAAGAGCGGATTCGTCGTTTTGTGAAGGGGTTGAGGTCAGAGTTGCGGATTTCAGCCTTACAGGTAGCGGCTACGGCAAAATCCTTCCAAGAAGTGGTAGATTTCGTGGTAGAGAAGGAAGGAGTGAAGCCAGATGAATTCACCATGGCATCGACATCAAAGAGGTTTCGAAAGGGAGGTGAGTTTAATGGTTCTTACTCTAGAGGACAGGATTCCGGAGGTTACTCAGTTCGACCCATTCAGTCTTCACTACAAACTGTAGTTGGGGGTCCACC